CCCCAAAACCCCAAAACCCCAAAACCCCAAAACCCCATTTAAGGATTAATATATAATTTTAGTTTAAAAAAATTGTTTGAATAGAAGGATGCTAAGACATAAATTCTATGGAAATAGAACTGGAGGTTTTGACTTTAAGATGACAAAACGGAAGTTTAATAATTCAAGTAAGTTTAAATTACATCACGTCGCTAATATTGTAGAGAAGAGAGGTGTCATAACTCATCATCAACCCGTTAGACCTTCTGAAAGACGTCCTGTTAATACAAGGATAGAACCTCGAAATCCCTTTGAGGAAGAAACTCTCGATGATATCGATCACTACACAGGATCTACTTTTGATCAAATATCAAATATCCGTAGTGAGTTGGTAAACATTAATAATCGCCTTAACAGAAAAGATGATAATTTCTTTAACAATTCCAGGCAACCATCGAGACATCATTATTTTGATTCGTACGAAAACCCTGCTAGAACAAGACCCTCTACAAAGGGGCTCATAAAGGGCGAGCTAGAGCCAGTAGATCATGAAAAGGCCAAACAAAAGCTAAAGCTTCTGTTAGAAAAGCAACTACAGAAGGCTAAAGGTAAGCGTAAAAGAGAGCTTCAGAGAAGACTTGCTGAAATTGATCGAAGAGAGGTCAGTCTCGGTCATGATGCATCCTCAGATTACAACTACTCTAAGGTATAATTAAATTATCATAATGTAGATTATGAAACTTAGCGGCTTAGCTAAACTAGACCATTCGATTCACTCACGAGTTCGTAATCTGAAGCAGAACAATAGTGAGATTAGAGGAAATATCAACCAGGTTAAAGATCGCATTCTTGAGACATCCCAGTACAGATCTTCGTAAATCCAAATCATGATTGTATAGCCCGAAGGCAAACAACACCATGATAGTTACAAGGAATAATACTTCTAAATAAACCCGTACTCAAAGATAGGATTTTCCAAAAGAAGATTTCTTGTGATTACAGAGACAAAAAAAAGACCCAATTTAAGAAGGGCATTATTATTATTCAGAGGAACAAAATGATGACCTCAAAAATTCCCAGAGAAAATGTAAGCTTTCAGTGTCACAAATAGGACAAAGAATTGAAACTTAGCGGTCTAAGGTTAAAATCTAGACCTATCAAGCGCAAAATAATGGCAAAATGGAAGTCATTCACACAAAAACTCTTGAGAAGAAATCGGTATAAGCACTGAAAGAAAAGAGGCTCATATCTCAATGCAAGTCGGTCATATAAGGGGAAAATTATAGATTCAGGTATTCCTTTACCTATCTCTCCCAGTCCTAGAAGATTTTTAAAAGAGAATAAGACCTTGATTATTGATGATTTGGAAGAACCTGAGAACGATCTTCACGAGACTGTGGATCATATAAAAAATTATTTACATAAATTCCAAATAAAATAGCAAAATTGAAGAAAATTATTCAAAAATAAAAAAATCAAAATCTATTATATTAGCTTGAATGAAAGGATATAGAGAACGAAAATATGTTAAAAAGCTTAGAATTGCAGCTCATACTATCATAAAGCATTATAAAACTTATAAAATTGCTGTGAAATCAAAAATGGCAGCTAAAACTCCTCCTCCTCGTAAAATAAAATCTCCTTCTTTGACTCCAAAATCTCCCTCTCCAACAGCACAGGTTGAAGAATCTCCAGCAACCATGAAGAGGAAACGCCAATTAGAATTCATCCGCAAGCAGAGGGAGATAACTGTGATGAAGAAGAAATAGAAAGGAAGCTGTCAGAATTTTCGAAAAGTATTACTGCAAAAAATTAATCAGAAGGAAGTACAGAGAATTTAGAAAGAAATTAGCCAAGATTCCAAAAGAAATGCGGATAGTCTACTTCAAGTATATGGCATTACGAGCAGATACGAATGTCCTAGTCAGTGAATTTCATCGAGACCTCGGCGAGCCTAAGGGTGTCATGTCTCCCACTAATTTCTTGATTGATTAGATTCATTCAATGACAAAATATATTCATGGGGTTTTGGGGTTTTGGGGTTTTGGGGTTTTGGGG